CGGACCAGCAGTGCGTCAGTGCGCACCCAGGATCGGAACCTCGGCCGCCAGTAGCGGAGCGCACGCACTTAACTGCTAAGCCACGGGGCCGGCCCACCCAGCTTTTTACTGACCAGGCTGTGTGTCTCCTTGCACCTCCCTGGGGAGCTTCCTGGGACCGACCACAGGCAGGGAGTGTGTGGGCGTGTCTGGGGCCCCTTACACATGGGTAGCCACAGGAACCGCACCCACAGATGCGTCTAGGCAAGGGTCAAAGCCCTCGGACCACATCAGCAAGGCCCAGTCAGGCCCTTTCCCTTGCCCCACCCCACAGCCTGCCCCTTTGAGCCCTGGACTCCAGCTGCTTCTAACCAAGGCTGCTGGCCCCACCCCCACAAGGTGCCAGCAGGTACCAGGACCCAGAAACAGGGGTCTCAGCCAAGCTACAAGGTCAGGTGGAGGCAGGGGCTCCATCTAATCACCTTGCTGAGGGGTGCCTACGACCAAGGCTGAGGGAGAGGAGCCGGGTGCCTGCTGAGCCCAACAGCCATCTTCTGACCCCTGCTCCCCTCAGGCAGGGCCTGCCCAGGGCTCCACGCCCACAAGGGCCATTCGGGTACAGCAGAGATAACTCTTCTTGGACCCCCAAGACCACTCACACATGCTGCCAAGGAGGCCCTGTGCCCACAGAGCACCCCATCCACAGGCCCATGGCCTACCAACCCAGGGCCAGCCACCCAGACTGTCCATTCCTTCTCTCTGTTCTCCCACACCCACCCAGCAAAGCCACTGGGGAGACCCCCGTGTTCCTTAGGCACAGGTCACAGCACAAAGGCCTCCCACACTACCCTCTGCAGGCCTCTCCTTGGATTCAACAGGGACAAGCGTCAAGTGTGTAGCCCACGAAAGCCCCAGTATGTGGCTGCTGCAGAGACCACCACCACAACTCACTCTCCACCAGCCCTGTGTCCCACATACTTAGCCACACGAGCTCCGGCCCCTCTCCTCCAGGGGACAGAGCCTGTGCCCAGGCAAAAGCCACCCTCGGGCTGAACCCTACCTCGCCGCAGGGACACCTGCTCCCAGACACCATCCTACTCACCAGCATCACCACACACCAATTCAAGATGCCACGGTAGTTGCTGAAGCCACTATCAGAGCTGAACAAAGAATCCTGGAGGCGGTGGCACCTGGCAGGGCAAGAGACAGGCATCCTCGTGACCAGGCACCAACAGAGCAGGGCTGGCCCCACCCCAGCCCCCAGGCAGGGCTAAAAACAGGCCCATGCCTCCAAGTCCATGGGCAAGTCAGGGCCCTGGCAGATACCTGAGAATGCAGCCAAGCCCAGCTCCTCAGGAGCCAGCCTCAGGGCCCAGGGCAGGCCCCAGCCCCTCACTCTGAGCAACTCTAGTCCATCCTGGTCCAGCAGCCGTGATCGGTATCCCACCCCAACCCTCTCTTCTGCCCATACATCATCCTACTACCCATTTACAGTCAGAGAGGGGCCAGGCAGGGCCAACTTCTCAGGACCACCCTCAGGCCTGCTCCTCCAGACAGTGGGCAGGGGGGCAGGCCACAGATAGGAGCAAGCACAGCCGGCCCTGCCCAGGCCAGGGCTAGGTGGGGCTGGAGCACCCAGGCCAGGAGCCTGGCCTCACTCCCAGAGGCTTCTGGCTGCCGCCACGCACACTGGCTATGGAGCCGTGATGGGCTCACAGGAGTCCACCCCAGGGATCTATGGGCCCACTCGGCAATGCTGGACAGAGGTGGGTCAAGGGGCGAATCTGCCTTGCTCAGTCAGCCCATCCCACCACCCAGCAAGCCAAGGGGCCCCCACCTCAAACCACCTCCTCCCCACACTTGGCCCACGAAGGTCGGAGTGGGCACAGGGCCTCAGGCCAAGGGCCAGCTGAGCACATGGCCTGACGTGCGCCTTCCTGGGGGCAGGGGCCTGACCCCCAACTGCGTGTGTGGTCTCCAGTTGTTGTTTTTTTTTTTTTTTTTGGTGAGAAAGATCAGCCCTGTGCTAACATCTGCCAATCCTCCTCTTTTTGTGCTGAGGAAGACTGGCCCTGGGCTAACATCCGTGCCCATCCTCCTCCACTTTACATGAGACGCTGCCACAGCATGGCCTGCCAAGCGGTGCGTCGGTGCGCGCCCAGGATCGTGAGACGCCGGCACAGCATGGCTTGCCAAGCAGTGCGTCGGTGCGCGCCCGGGATCCAAACCGGCGATCCCCGGGACACCACAGCGGAGCACGTGCACTTAACCGCTTGCACCACCAGGCCGGCCCCTCCAGTTGTTTTTGAGAAATGATAGCCTGTCCCCATTCAACCACAGGGTAAGTGCTGTGTTCCTGCCTGGGCTGAGGGGGCCCAAAGAAGCTCCCTCAGGGGCTGGGCGCCTGATGGCAGGAAGGTCTCCAGCAGAAGCAGGCAGAGGCACCTTCAGTGCCCACCCGTGAATGCTCCCACCCAGTGCTGGGGTGGGGGACACGTAAGCAGACCCTCGTGTCCCTGCCTGATCCTCAGAGTAACGCAAAGGTGGAAGAGTAGCCACAGCATGGCTGGGGCAAGGCCCAGACCTGGCCCCCAACTCACTCACAGGCTGCAGCCCTGCCTCAGGAAGCCCTACACAGCATTGAGCAAGGCCTCCAGTTTTGTAAGAGGTGAGGCCAGGGCCTCCCTACCCTCCTGCTGACACACACCTCCACCTCTTGAGACACCTGGGTGAGGAAAGCGGGCCCCATCAGATGCCCTCGCAGGGCTGGCCCCACCTCAGGGGCAAGCCTGGCTACTGTTGGGGTCAGCACTCGGACGGCCCCACCCAGGAGGTGAGGGGTCAGGGATGCTGCTCAGCACTATAGCCAGGGCACTGCCGACAGGTCTGACCTCTGTCTCCCAAGACCAAGGTCTGCACCGCACGTGGCCCACCTGCCTCTCCCTGTCGCAGGCCTGGCCTCCTTGTGTCCACCTTCCAGGTCTGTCCTGGCCTTGCAGTGAGGCTGTGATCTCCTCCCAAGGCCCTCTTCTCCCTGAGTCTCTGCACGTGCCTCTCCGCAAGGTGAGCAGGGGTCCAAGGTCCAACTCTCCAGAGAGGACAGTCTCTGGGTCAGTCTGCTGGACTGGGCCTCCCCAGCCCCCTTCGCCAAGTTTCAGCCCATTTGCTTTCACTGGAACCATCCCAAAGCTGCCTCGTACCACAACTTGCCAACTGTTGTCTGCACTTGTGACGCCTGGCTCAGCGCACCCAGAGGACTGTTTCACAACAGTGTGACCCCTGCCCCCTTTGGGCCACCAAGAAGACCATGCTGGCTTTATTTGTGGCAATCTCTACGATGAAAACAGGAGTGGAGAAAGGGCGTCGTTTTCCAAATCTGACATCAAAATGACGTTATAAAAGCTCGTTCAGATCCCTGCTGTCAGGTTTCCAAGGTCTTCCCCAACCCATCCACACCCACTTCTCATGTCCCTCCCCACAAGCCTCCTGAAGACCCCCAACCCCAGGCAGCCCCCTTCACCCACAGGTCAGAGGCCCTGACCCAGGGGAGGAAGCTCACCGTCCACCAACACCTATAAAGTTCCAGCCTTGACAGTGTAGTCAGCAGCAGTGGACCAGAGGGTAGATGGAGGCAAGATCTGGTCACCATGCCCAGAGCTGTCTGTCACCCTCTCCCTTACTGCAGGGGCCGCTCACACCTCTGTGCCCTGCAGCAGTCCCACATCGGCTCCCCAGGCCCACCGAGCTAGCAGGGCCATTTTAACTTATCGCATGTATCACCTCAACCCTCACATCAGCACTGGGAGGCGGGCACACAGGGAAACCGAGGCTTGCCAAGGTTCGAAGCTCGCCCAGAAGCACAGCCCCCAAGTGTGGACCACGTGGTCCAGCTCCAGGGCCAAGCAGAGCAAGGAGAGGGCAGAGTGCCAGCTCATCTCCCAGCTGTCCCCGTCCTCGGCACACCCAGCCTCTGGGCCGAGCCCTGGGGGGCAAGGTGGTTGAGTGAGCTCCCCACATCCTCAGGCCCTGCTAGAGAGGGAGAGACAGAGGACACCACAGGGACAACACCCTGGGGAAGCCCCGCAACCAGAAGGTCCCACCTGGAGTGCCCATGAACCGACGGCCGGAGGGCACCCAGGCGTCCCGGGCATGAGGGAGTATGTGGAGCACCTGAAAGGAGTGAACCACAAGGCAAGAGCAGAAAGGGGTGCCCTCTCCTTCCTGCCCCACAGCTACACCTTGCCACAGTCCGGAAGAAATGAGCTCACACCTAGAGCCAGAGCCTGACCAACCTGCCCAGGCCAAGGTGAGCAGGAAGTGTAGGAAGGGGTAGCAGGAGGAACGGGGAGGAAAGGCCACAAGCAGTGGGGAAGGGAAGTAGGTGGAGAGATGACAAGGAGGGGGCAGCCCCAGGGGACCCCAAACCCTGTGGCATCTGGGCTTGAGGGACAAACACACACAGTCTGCATATCCTGGAGACCAGGAAGGGACGGTGATGGCTAGCTTCCCCTCCAGCCCTGGGCAGGCCCATCCCTGCCATCTACTGCTCCTCTTCCCAGGGGTCCAGACCTCGAGAATGGGCAGACAGGGCTCCCACTCACTGGGCCAAACTAGCAGGAGCACAGGAGAGACTTCTGGACACCTGGCCCACACAAAGCAGGAAAGTGACTGTCCATCCCAGGGTGGCAGCTTGGCCCAAAGCCAGCACTTCCTATCTCACACAAAGGACCCTGGTTCCCATCCCCTCAAGATGGAGATCATGCTAGCCATGCCCTTGCCTCCTGAAGAGGGTGTCTTGGGGAGTTAGCAGAGAAGACTCTAGGACCCTCCTGTCCTTTGCAGCCTCCCTCAGCACCACCCAGGCCCACAGGAAACAAGCATCCTTCTCAGCAGAACCACTCTCCTCCCTCATGGCGCCTGCACCAACTCCTTCATGAACTCCAAACTCCGTGCCTGACCTTTGCTCGGTGCTGAGATTACCTTATCTCCCAGGTGGACTGTGAGTACCCCAAGAGCAGGGACAGTCCTGCAGTACCTGTACCCCAGCTGCCCTCACCCACCCCCTCCCCACAGCGCATGGTGAAGAAAGCCTCAGTTCTTGTTTACTGAGAGAGCAAATCCTTGCCAACCAACTGACCAATTGCCCACTTCCCTTGATAACCTTTAGCTCTGAAGCTGCTCCCAAAGCCAGAGTGCTCAAGAGCCCCTGGGCCAGGGTGAAGGCCAGAAGGGGAGGGGGTAGCTGGAGGGTGGTAAAGACATCGCTTGGAGCCAGCTTGGAGGAGGGAGCCAACGCCCAGGGGGGCCAGGTCCTCCCCATCAGCCACGGCTTGCTCTCCCCACTCCTTCCTGTCAGTCCTTCAGCTAAGGGGAGCACCCACCTGTGGGTGTGCCTACTTCAAACCTCTCTCCTATACTCCAACCAGGGTGAGTCCCAACACAGGACCCAACTCTCCCTACAGCGGCATTTGTTAAGCAGGACCCCAGGCCAGCCAAGGACTGGGTGAGGGATGAATGAGCCAGGAAGGGAAGGGACCCCTGTAAAGACCCCTCTGAAAGAGTCTGCAGGAACCAGAAAGCCTCTCACACTGTCCCATGCCCCTGTCCTCAGACAGTCCAGTCTCCTGCGGGCCCCCTCACCAGCTAGCCCATCCTCCTCTGGGACCCTTCCCTACCCCCAAGGCACCCCTCATAGTCCTCGGGAGAGACTCCCCTCCCTTCATCAGGAGGGACAAACCTCCCGATCTCATCCATCTCCTTCCAGACAGGAGACACTTGGGCATGGCTGGAACCAGCCCGCCTAGAGGCCAGGCTCCTGGCTCACCCAGAGAAAGAGCCTCAGGATCCACTGGAGGACCTGCAGGGCGGGGGTCGGGGGTCGGGGGTGTCTGGAAGCTGGGCTGCTGCCGGCCCCCCTCAGCGCCCCCACCTGGGTGACCTTGGCAGGCTACCCTCCACCCCTAAGCCTCTGTTTCCCCGCGGGGACCCAGGGGATACACTTGTCCACGCGAGGTCCTGGGGCCAGGCTCTTGGACCCGGAGCCCGCGCTGCTGCGGCCACGCCCGGGAGACCGGGGAGGGTCGCGGGGGCCCGGGTCAAGGGTCAGAGGTTAGGAGTCGGCCGCACCGCTACCTCAGATTCCAGTGGCCGCTGCCCACGTCGGCGTCTCCGTCCTTGTCCTTGTCCGGGGCCGGGGCGTCCCCCCCGGCGCCCACGTCCCTCACCTCCTCTTCTGCAGCCGCGGGCCCGCCGCCGCCCTGGCTCAAGGGCCGCGACCCTGTCCTCCGGCGCCGGGAGCCGCCTGCGCTGCCGCGGTCGCCCATGGCCTCAGCCCGCACGCTCCCGCGGCCGAGTCGCGGCCCGCCGGCCTCTCAGAGCCCGAGGCCCGCGGCCCCGCCTCAGGACCCTTGGCCAACGGCCGCCGCCGCCCCCTACCGGCCGCCGTAGCCCGCGCGCCCGCCGAGTCGGCCACGAATCCCGATTGCGTCGCTCCGGAAGCTGCTAACTGGCCCGCGGTCGCGGTGCGCGGGGCACCCTGGGAGTCGTGGTCGACGCGGGCGAGAGGGACCGCGGGGCACCCTGGGAGTCGTAGTCGCCCCGCGCCGGAGGAAGTACGGGGGCATGCAGCTGGTGGCGGACAACGCTGTCCGCGGGCCTCGGCCTCTCCACGGAACACTCCCGACTTCCTAGCAGTTGCGCTCCTCCCCTGATCGCTTTCCTGGCCCTTGTCCCACTCTCTAAACACAGGGTTTCGTCATTCCTCATCCCAGGCGCAGGAATGTGGGATGTGGGTTATTTATGAAACGGCTCGTCGGTTACAGTAGCTGCCGCGCACGGCTGGCGGGGCCCTGTCCGTGGGGGCTGGCCTCGCCCACCACCCAGTGCGTTGGTGCCCGAGCGCGCATCTCTCGGCACAGTTGCTCCGCGAGCCCTCTGGTTACCACCGCAGGCGCCTGCTTTTCTTCGGCTTAGGTTTGCGGAAATTAAAAGAAACCTTAACTGGGCTGGCCCCGTGGCTTAGCGGTTAGGCGCACGCGCTATGCTGCTGGCAACCCGGGTTCAGATCCCGGGTGCGCACCGACGCACCGCTTCTCTGGCAACGCTGAGGCCGCGTCCCACATACAGCAACTAGAAGGATGTGCAGCTATGACATACAACTATCTACTGGGGCTTTGGGGGGAAAATAAATAAATAAGTAAAATTATAAAAAAAAAAAAAAAAGAAAACGTTAACTAAACTGAGTCGGGAAGGCCTGTAGAGGGAGCTCTCACCCCCATCACACATCGTCAATTACACCAACCAGGAAGAGAGGAGCCTGCATCTCGGACAGGAAGTACAACTACTTTACTATGAAGGAAGATTTCCCTCCCCAGCCGGCAACAGCCCAGCCAATGAGAAGCCGTGCCGCCCTGAACTGCTACTTTCCCCGGTAGACTCTCATTTAGAACAGCCCTTCCTCTCATTTAGAACAGCCGTTCCCTACTCCCCCTCTTTCTCCAGAAAGGCAGATCCCCTCCTTTGTTTTCTGGATTTGTCTGTGGTTGAAATAGCATGTGCATATCCCGAATTGCAATTCTTTTGGCTACTCTCGAATAAACTCCTTTTGAGGCTTTACAAGTTAACAGGCTGTTCAGACAAGCACCAGGCCTGAGGATGGAGCAAGAGAAAGGCCCCATCCTGCATCTCCGAGACACCTGCCCTGCCCGCAAACTCCCAGGACAGCCAACTCTCCCCCTACAGGGCCCAGCAGGGGTAGGGCGAAGGTGCAGGCTCCCCCGCAGTAGCCACGTTCCAGCTGGCACCCTCCACCCAGCCCCCCTTCTGCCCACCTCCACAGACTTGCAGGGCCTCCCCGGTCTGGGCCAGTTTTGCAAGGGCGTGGCGAGCCTGAGGTGCCAGATCGTGGGGACCCAGAGCATTGCACAGTCTTTGCAATCTCCCAGTCGTTAAATGAAGCAACTAATCCACCGTAACAACCGCAGGGTGTGACTCGCAGGCAGGCAAGTCCAAGTCACACTTTCGATTGACACGATTCTTGCACAGGGCATGGAGTATGAGCGTCCTGGATCTCAGGGTGCAAGCGTTCACCGGGGGCTCGGGCCTGGTTTACCCAAGAAACACCTCTAGCAGCAGAACCCATTAGCTGAGCAGGACCCAGAAGAGCGCCTCTCTGGAAGCAAATAAACCAAGAGATTCAGCCTAAGGTCAGTGTCTTCTCCTATGGACTGGCCACTGCCTTTCTGCCGGGCTCACCCCTGCTCCACCACCTCCACGATGGCACCTGGGCCCCAGGTTCTTGCTGCCATGGGGCCATCTGGGGCTGATGCCAGTCTGGCGTCCCTACCTGGCAGGTGTCTTCGAGCAGCCTGCTGAAAGGGCCGCCCTGACTGGGTGGGAGAGCCCCTCCCGTGTGCCAACGCAGCCCGGCCTCTTGGGTCTGGACCAGCCCCGTCTCCTATCCAGTCTCCCAGAACGTTCGTCTGTTCATCTGCCAGACTGAGCTAGGCCTTTCTGAGAACTGATCCCCAGGAAGGGCGGACGAAAGAGAGGGTCCCCTCCGGAGCCCCGAACGTACGGGTGCTGCCACTCCCTCCTCACCCTCTCTCCAAGGCGGTGCGGGAAGCCCCGCAGGGGCGCCCACGTGCGGCTGCGCGCCTTCTGGCCGTGCTGTAGTCCAATACAGAGCGAAGAACTAGAGGGCCGGCCCAGCCTGGCACGCGATGGGCAGAGGAGAAGATTGACGGCTCAGGCTACCAGTAGGCCTGGAGAGGCTGAGCCCAGTAGCCAATGAAGAGTGAAGGGTCGTGTTGGAGGCGGCTGCCTGTGTCCACGTCCCAACTCCAAGCCGTCAGCTGGCAAGTAGCAGCAGGAGTGAGGCGACTAGGGTGGAGCGGGGACTAGCAGAGAGGACCGGTCCGGCCGGGGGTGAGGTGGTGGCGAGCCAAGGTTCCGGCACTGGCGTTGAGAGCGAGGAGAGCAGGGCTGCGAGCCAATGGGAAGGCACGGGCTGTGAGCGCACCAATAAGGAAGAGCCTCAGTACCGTAGGGGGGGCGGGGCCTCTGGGAGAGGCGGGGCCTATGGCTGGGAGGCGGGACCGGAGCATGCAAGGCTCCCCACAGCCCCAGTAGGTCCGGATCCAGGGTGAGGTGCTGGACATTCTAGATCAGTCCTGGGTTGGGCCTGACTTCAGCTTGGAGTCCCTTAGCTCCCCCAATTCCTGGCACAGAGAAGATTCACCTGTCCCAGGAGAAATGCCAACTGCTTTGCCTTCGGGGGGGGGCTCCTGAGGCTTGGTCTGCCAAGCCGGCCCACCTGGGTGGAAGAGGACAGCCCTCTTGCAAAAGGGGACACAGGCAAATGCTAGCGAAAAGCAGCGACGTGACCCCAGGGATGCGTGGGCAGGCTGCCACTCCCAGCGCTGGGCCTGCACCCGCCCTGCCTCTAGAGTGCGACAGGACCGGGAAGATGCCCCCCAGATGTCACCAGCGCCCCCTGCAGCGCGGGCCCAGCCCTGGATACATCAGCCCGACACTCCAAGTTCTATCAAGAGTGGCATTTATTCTCCTCGTGGAGGTGCGGCGCTCCGGGGAGCTGGTGCTATTGTGCTTAGGAAGTAGGTCTGTCCGTCCGTCCGTCTGTCCGGCCGGCCCAGCCCCAAACGGGGGCGGAAGAGGGGCGCGGCCCGAGTAAAAATCCCGGCCTGTTCCGGGTGGGAGTGTGTACAAGGCGGCGGGGCGCAGGCGGGGTGGGGGCAGGGCAGGCCGGCGGCCACAGCCCCCACCCGAGGGCCCCCGCATCTCGGGCCCTACTCGTAGAGTCAGTACAAAATAGGTGCTACCTAATCGTTCTTCTACCTGAATTCGCTAAGTCGGTTATTGTGCTGCTTAGTTATGGGGGCAGGAGGGGGCCCATGGCTTTCCACGGCGGTGGGGTGTGGGGAGAAGGGAAGACCCTAGCCAGCCCACGGCCCTTCTCCTTAGGTAGGTAGACAGGTGGGGGGATAGGGGGGCGCCTGTGTGTGCGTGTGCATGCGGGTGTGCCTGGCTGGGCAGGCTGGCCCCAGCTTGGAAGCTGTGTGGGCCCCGAGCTGAGGTGTAGGGGGTTTTGCATGGGGGCCCTGCTGTGCTGGGCCCTCAGTCCACCCTGTGGGTGCAGCTGGGCACCAGTGGGCTTCGTGCCCATGGGGATGGGGCTGGCCAGGTCATACACTCCAGAGTGCACCTTTGTGTCTGGCCTGGGACTCTGGCCTAACACTGCAGAGCTGCGGTAGCCAGGGGATGGAAGGACTGGGAGTCGGTATGGGTGGCACTGGGCCTTGGTGCCCTGGGTCTGTGACTCCTGAGCTGAGAAGGCCAAGCCCAGTCAAAGGTAGAGCCTGGCTACACCCAGCATTGGACCCCGGCGGGGGTGAGGAGGAGTGAGGGGTACACGGTTGGGCCTAGGGACCCGGCCTCTCTCTGCATCTTTGTCCGTGGTCCCTGGCCCAGCAAAGCCGGCCAGGCCCCTCACGAACATGCACCACCCCCTCCCCCACAGGTCACTGTGTCCCTGGCATACTCAGCAGCAGGCCTGGCACGTAGTAGGTGCCCAATGAACGGTCGGTGGGTGATGGACGACTGAAGGAGGGGTCTTGGGGGCAACCACCTCGCCCCTGCCCCTGGAACCATTACACCCGCCGGGCTCTGCCGTGGTGGGGTAGGGAGGAGAAGGGGGAAGAAAGTCTGCGCGTCCGGTCACGCACAGCGTCCCTGATCTAGGGGCCTATGAGGAAGACAGGGCAAGGGGATACCTGATTCTCAGTAACTCTAGAGGCGGCGGCAGCTTCGCATGCAGTGCGCATTATTGCTCTATAGTCGGCATCGGACTAACTAAGAGGGAGAGGGAGCGGGCAGCCCCGGGAAGGGACGGAAGGAGGGTTGGGGCTGCATGCAGTGACGTCACAAAGGCGGCGGCCAATGGGGCGGGCCCTTGGGGCGGGGTCGCCGCCGAGGCTTTGGCATAGACGGGCGAAAGTTGGCAACAGAGTGGGGGCGGGGCCGGGGCTCGAGGGAGGGGCCGGCGTCTGAGAGGCGGGGCCTGAGGCTCCCAGGAGGCGGGGCCCAGGCGGGGGCGGGGTTCAGGGGCGGGGAAAGTGATCCTGGATTCCCAAGCCCCGGGCGTCGGCGGGGAGGATGGGGGCCTGAGCGGCCCTTCCCTGACCCGAGTGCAATCGTTCATAAATAAAACGTACAAATACAAAAAGAAAGAAACCCGACGCATCCGCAATCCCCCCAAGGGGCTTTACCCGCAAAGCGAATACGGAGAGCTGTATAGAGGGCCGTGCCCAGGCCTGCCTGCCGGGCCCCAGGAATCCGTCCTCCAACACCGAATGCCCGGGTACGAGGGAGGGGGCCCCGGGGCAGGGCAGGAGCGGGGTCTGAGGAGGTCGGATAAGTCCATGCGATTCGATATGCGTCATTATTATTCGTTATGGAGGACAGAGCCTGGGAAGCTGGGCCGGAAGAATTCGGATTTGGCAGAGGATGCGAGGCGAGGGTAGGAGAGCGGCTCGGACTGAGGCCCCAGAAGGAACCCAAGGGAGAGGGGTGCCGCCATCCGCCCCCTCCCCGATCCCCAACGCGTCTAACACTCCCGGGCTTCAGCGAAGACTGAGGAGTAGGGACGCTTCTGCAGGCCTCCTCCCTCCTGCTCCTCCTCCAGTCTGCTGCCGGGGAGGGGCTGGCTCCCTGGACGTCTAGGCCACGGGCCTGGCCCTGGAAGGCTTGGGAAGGGGTGGGGAAGACCTGAGTCTCTGAGACGCGATCCAGGGGCACAGAGGGGGGAGGAGGGGGGCGCTCCCTACCTCACCCCACCCCCGTCTTCAGAGACCTTACTCGGAGATGAGGTTCGGTTCCGGGTCTCCTGGACCCTATTGCTGGGAAAAAGCCTGGGGCACCCTGGAGGGGAAGGAAGGGGGCTCGGGATGGGTCTCCCCTCGGGACCCTATTGCTTGAAGGGGCCGGCAAGGCCCCTGGCAGGCGGGGCGGAGCCGGGCCCCCTCCCCCTATTGCTGTGAGGAGGGGCCCGCCCTCCCGCCCCTCCGCCCGGGCGCCGGCGGAGACTTCCCTGGTGGCCCATATTGCTGAGAGCCGACCCGGCTGGCGGAGGCACCGCCGCCCTAGGCCTGCACAGGGCTGAGCTGCGGCGGCGCGGCGGGCGCCGGGGCCGCGGGGCCGCCGCCTCCGGCGCCGCCCTTGAAGCAGGCCGACTCGTAGTGCTTGTTGAGATAGGACTTGAGCGCGAAGCTCTTCTTGCAGCGCTTGCACTGGAAGTGCTTGAAGGCCGAGTGCGTCTGCATGTGTGCGCGCAGGTTGGATCGGTCGGCGAAGGCCTTGCCGCAGTGCGCGCAGCCGAAGGGCTTCTCGCCGGTGTGGGAGCGCATGTGGCCCTGCAGGAGCCAGGGCCTCGAGAAGGCCTTGCCGCACACGCCGCACTTGTGGCGCAGGTCGTGCGTGAGCAGGTGCATGGCCATGGCCGGCATGGACACGTACACCTTGCCGCACGTCGGGCAGCGCCTCGCCAGCTGACTGTCCAGGCTGCGGTGAGTCTGCTTATGGCGGCTCAGGTTCGACGATGTGGCGTACGTTTTGCCGCACTCG